AGTTCAAATTACCATGCTTCACTACACCCTGGTTGATTTGCTCACTTTAAATGAGATAATTGGTATCATGCTACAGTTATGAGGTTAGTTTCTACTGGGAAAATATCCTTTCACATGGGTTTAGCAACTAGAGATATTCGACTAAGCATGGGAAAGTTATCTGCCGCCTTAATGGTCAGTTTTTCCACTTTCCCTTTACTTAGAGTCACCTTGCATTTAAACTTGTAGATTAATGTCATTAACCCAATTTATTCTAGCCAATGTTCTTTGTCTAAATAAACCTAAAAAGCTCCAGGAGTCTTAAAAGTATTCGACTGTCCCAGTGTTTGTATTTCCCAGTATTTTATTTCCCCTTCATCAATGAATACAGGTTAGTAAAACCAGGACTGTTATAAAGTAAGCTGTAGTGGCATTTCGAAGAAAGACAAGTATACTGTGTAGACAAGTCGATAAGCACCTACGTGTTTCCAGGACTCTATGAAAAACCCAAAATTAAAATTCACATACAAGTGATTCAGGCATAGAAGTCATTGGATGACTTTACAGAAAAGTTTACGCCCATCAATTAATGTTTATATATGCAGACAAATATTTAAAATTATTCTAAAACTGAAGACTGTCTTCTTTACAAATTATGAATTACATTTAACATATTCCCATTTCAGCGAAATAGCTATCAAGAATTCGTGTAGTTTAGTTCGATCAGCCGTTTTGAGCTGAATCATAACGGTTACATCTCTGATGACTTCAGCTTGAAATATACGTAACGGCCATTCCGTGTTTAGATTACTTCAATCTATCTAGCAATCACTACTACTTGAATTTAGTGCTACCCAACTACCATATCAAAGTAGTAGTATACATCTAAATAACAAAAATAGTTCCTAATGAAAACATGATTATTTCCAAGAGTTGATTTGTTTTTTGAGTCTGACCACGGATTGATATCAGCTAGAGAGACATTGAGAACTATCAGGGAGTACTGGACAGTTGTTTCGTCAGCCTAGCCTATGACTCATCTGCAGTACGCACCTACCAAGTTCCCAACCCAATACCTTCCGGTTACAAGATGAGCTCCCATTCAGCCAGTAGGACCTCACTCAGTAACCAGCTCATGAGTTCTAAGTTCTACCGATTCGTGATTTTTGGTGCTCCCACCATCGGCAGAAACTCCATCTTCACTTCCGACTGCCGATGAATCCTAAACTAGCGTGAAACAGATGTCCACTACTCCCTACTGTTTTTCAACGGTTCTCTAACTGATATGAATCCACGGTCTAACTCGAAAAAACAAATCAAAATCCTTACAAATAAACTCTTGGAAATTTATGGTTATGTTTAGAATCTAGTCTGTCTATTCCCTGAAATGGCTCGCTCATCAGTAAGTAGCAATTTAATTAATGTTTAAAATATAACATTATACCACTAATACCATAAGTAGTTTGAGTCACATTTAATATCAGCACATCATAAAGCAGTTCAATTAGTAGAGGTTATTACTAAAATGTCAACTCAGTAGATAAATATAACTATGTGAAGTATTTCTACTGTGTGAAAATTTACTTAATAAACTGTGTCACACAAACTAACTTTTAGTCTGTTTTCCCATAAAAATAAATAGGAATAAAACATAATGAATACGCGGGAATACATATGAATATATATCCATCACAAACTGATGAAACAGCCTGTGAAGGTAGAGTATTCACCATGACAACTTCCCACTCACTTTTATAGAGTCATAAATTTCCATTAATTATCATAAGAATTGATGTACACTAAAGACTAATTGTGAGAATGTTGCATAGACAAGAAAATACATTAAAATCAAATGACAATTGAGATTCCTTATTCAGTAATTATTTAACCAATATCTCTATATATATCACTGTGGTATAGTTTTTCAGAACAAATATGTGTATAATATCGTAGTGTATGTGTGTATGTGTGTGTGTCACCAACAGAACATAAAGCTCGTAAAGCGTCATATCACCAAAGAGATAATAAGGGTTTATATTCAATACGTAAAAGTTACAGAAGAATAAACATTTAGGACAATATGAACAGCTTTTACAGGATAACACGAATTTATTTTGTTCCCTGTGGATTCCGTCGTTGGCACACACAAAACATACATGATGAAATGCATAGATTAGTGCGTCGGTGGCACAGCGTTTAGGACCCTCGCCGACCATGCACATGGTCCGAGGTTCGAACCTCTGCCGACCCACACCTAATATCTATGGTTGGCCTGCAAAATTTTGGCTACCGATATCACATGCTGAAAATTCCATACCTGTACCAAAAATAGGGTTTGAAATCAAGCTGTAATAAAAAAAATGCAACATAATTTTAACATATCTTGAGTAAGTAATCAGTTTATATCATAATATTAAAATAAAATGCTAGAAATAAAGGCGAGTTACAGATTGTTCAGGAAATCAAAATAATCAGGTATAATCCAAATGGAAACTTTATGTGCTGTAAAGAGAAATATGTTTGGAAATTTAAGGTAATCTCAGACATGTCTGGAGATGGTTACGTAATTACATGAGGAGTTAATCAAACAAAATCAAAGAGGACAAAGGTAACGAATGAATTAATAAAATTAGCACGAAAATCAATAAATGCAAATATTAAGTTTCGTCATAAAAAGTGAAAAGGAAGAAGATTTCGATGAGTCAGTGCTTACCAAAGTAATAATAAGTTGGTAAGCGTCTCTTTTTGAGCATACATGAGAGAGAGAATGAAGGGATGCATCAACATAGTTGAAGTTAATAATAGTCGAGAATCGGTCACCTTATTCACGTTTATCAAAAGGAATAACTGAATTAACAGAGATGTAGTTACACTGCCTAAGTTGCATGAAAACTGCAACAGTAAACAAGCAAACAAAGCTGAAATTAGACAACTGAATGGTCTGTACTGTTTTGCTACTTTACTGATAGTGCACTTTGTGACAATGAACAATTTCGTATACTGCCACTAGAGTCACGTTTACGAAATAGGATTTAGAAAAGTGCTAAATACAGACAAAGGTAAAATTTAGGTAAAATTAGTTAACTGACACATTAGTGTTACAAAATAATAAACACAGTACTGTGTGTGTATGTCGTGAACAGCGGAAGTGGATGAGTGAAGGCGGTTGTCGAAACGGTGCGTTTAGTAATATGTATATGCACAGAGGAATGAAAGAATCAGAAGGTAGAAAATTGACTAAAATCTACAGTGTCATGATCCAGCAAAATCACTGTTTAATATTTCAAGACTGATACTGGAATATTTTAAAAAATACACATTTTAATCTACAGACAGGTTTAAGTTATTATGATTATTATATCTCCATTCCTGGTTGTAACATTGCTATTTACATATGTATCACTAATGTAATATCCCATTCACCTAAACAAGACATACAAATACAGTGATTTCACTAGAACACCAGAGGAGATTGCTGTCAATAGACTTCTCCTTGTGGCGTATGTGCACCATTCCGGTCAAGTATCAGGGGAATAAAATCGAGTATTTCAAATCATAACTCATTAACAGTTTATTAATCAGTAATTTGTGTTTTTGTCCTTTATAATGTACAAGGCTGAATTTTGTATCCATGAATGAATACATACCACCTGATCAATCTCGGAAGCTTGAGTGTTGAAGATCGAAATTCTCTTTACTTCCAATGATTTTGTTGTGTAAAACATTATAGTTGGAGCTTATTTTTCTTACAAGTGTTGGTTTTTTCTATTTATTATTGAATTCTAGACATTGAAGATTTCCACTTCTCTGAAATAGGGTAACAAAACAAAATTTGCTGCGCGCCAACAAGTTTCGTATACTTCACCACTTTGAGACGTCATGAAAGACAACTCCTTTGAGGAGAAAAGTAAAATATTTGAGCTAAGATTTTAGCTACTCATAAGTAGTATCATCATGTTAGATAAATAAAGTAGTAAAAGAAGTAATTTTCTCTATGCGCCCGTTGTCAGAAATTCCCTCTTTTATATCTTTCATCTTCTGAGCTGAGGACGTTTAAAATATGTACAAATGAAATAACTTAATAATCAGACCATACTAACTCATATACCTATCTTTTCCTAGTGTAATTACTTACTCTTATGAGAGGCAAGGACTCTCGCCGACCATACACATGGTCCGAGGTTCGATCCCCTGCCGACCCACACCTGATATCTATGGTCGGCCTGCAAAATTTCGGCTACCGATATCCATGCTGAAAATTCCATGCTTGTACCAAAAATACAGTGTGGAATCGAGCTGTAAATAAAAAATATTAAAAATATATATGTAAAGTGATGAAAGAATAGCTGAAATAAATAAAAATCACAGGAGATTCATGAGTAAGGAATATGCCAACAGAAAAATAAAAAGTATATCCCCATTCTATCCCTGGTTATATAATCAAATAAATATCTAGATAAGTTGAGTGCAGTAATAAATTACTTTTGGACACGATAAAGTGTTTTTGATGTAGTTGTGTTCTCTGAGATGGATAGTTGATTTGTGAAGCTTTCATTGCCCTACTAGGTAAAATTTTCAGCACATACTTCAATTTGAAGTGAGCCATGTCAATGTGTCTATTGATTGACGACTCACTGGAATATCAGGCTTCTGAAAATTCTCTCAGATTCTCGTTGTTTCCTCTGTCTAATATTTGCACGCTGTCCCAGTCGAATTGATGTCGAATAGACAAGATCGGGGTGCTAGCCTCATGCTCAACCTCCCCAGTTCTATTGCCGGTTGAGCTGGGTAAAGGAGTGTGCCGCTCGGGATCGGACCCCAGACCACCTGCGTGGTCGGCGAGCACTCTACGGCTGTGCCACCGACGCCTAATTGAATATGCATTCTTATATTCGATTCATATTCATTAACTTTGGTGCAAATTATGATGGGGATTTCTTAGTAGGCATTACATTAGAAGACAATAAACAACACAGAGAAACATTTTTTTGACTTAATTTTTAATTATTTTCTATTGTCAGAAGCTGAATTTCAATGTCATTCAACTTGGAAAAAGAATAATCTGAATTATATTCTCATATATCAAGAAATAAATCAATTCAACTACGACTTTTATCAGCTGGTAAGTGTATGATACATTAAACGTTCAATTTCTATCTTCTAGGATGGTTATATCACTTTTACGCTAAAAACCAATAAGCCTACTATAATACTCCATTTCAGTCCACAAAAACAGCTTAGTATTTATAATAAGACTGATAACGAACTGTATTGTCTAATCTCAGTGAAAAATTACAATCTTAATTTCGGTAAACAGATGTCAAGTACTACTGATAATCGTATAGTGTACTACAAAATGAGTTATTATAATTATTATATTCCTTCAAAGCATGAACTAATTTTTTTGCAATTCCGAATAATTTTTGGTGTAACTAATTATTACTAGCGTTTACTTACTTTTGGTCAATGGAAAATAATATTGAGATCTAGAATGCACATTTCGCCCAATATGAAACTCATCATCTGGATATACCTGCATTGCAAATAAGTGATGTTCTCACTGAACTTTAAAATTCAGCACCAATCATTTCAAACATCAAAGCGTTATACACCATGATCCGCTGGAAATGTGAGTACATATAGCTGCTAGATTCCAACGTTAGTTACCATCAATCCCAATTATATCATGCTGATCTCCGGTTAAAGCGTTGTTAAAGGAATCAACATGTCAAAAGAGACCGATCATATCGGTTCAACAGAATCAATCAACATGCAGTCCAAATTAATCTAAGAAAACAAATTTCTAGCTAGTGTTTTCTACATAATGTGTTGACGATTATAAGATCTTTTGAATAATTGAGCTTAAGTTTTAAGACTTCAGGTCTTCTGATTTCATTCGAATATAATTTCCCTACTCAGTATGAGCTCAAGTATTATGAGGTTTAGTTCGTATATATTTGTTTAATTTAATTTATGTATTTTCCGTTGAATGATCATATTGGATCAGGATATTCAGTCTCTATTGACATGGTATAGGTGCTTCAACAACGTCTGAGGATTAAAATGCTTTTGGCGTGTGGTCACTAACAGTGGAATCCAGGATGCGTGTTTCTCCCTATTTGGAGTTCGTCAACTGGATGTACCTCCATTCCCAGTTAATGATCTTATTTCCAATGAGACTTGAATCCTGCACCTATCGTGGTCCAAGTGGTCTGGTGTATAACGCCTTGGTGTTTCAGTTCCATTCTCACTGGGAATGTAGCTACATTTAGCTGACACGTCCGAAGTAGGACGAAACACGAATCCTGGACTCCACTGTCGATCATTATCCACCTAAATAACAACGTAGTCTATATTTATTACTTTATAATCAAACCGAGACACAATTGTAGCAATAGTACAATTAGTCAAAATCAAAGTGACCTGAATAACCGGAAGAATTTGGATAATAAATTAAGTCACTAAATTAATAATCCCAATTGAAAGATAGAAGTAAAGAATTCAGAGAAGAAATTTCTCTTTTCGACGATCTAGTTTTCATAGATAAACAGACATGTGTATGAATTATAGTAGACAATTACAATCAGTGTTTTTGTGTGTATGTGTATGTTAATGTTTGACAGTCAGTGGAAATGGTTAAGTGCGATAGTATTGGGGTATAGGATCATGACTCACAAGTGATAAGATATATGGATGAATAATCTTCAAATATTGCCATTATTATTATTATTAGAACAAGACATACAAACGAACAATATTGTTTTCAGTTAGATCTTCTTCAGGCTTTACTCCAACCGACACACATTTAAATATAAAAATTTTAACCAATGACGGTAATGTTGTGGTTCAAATAATAATAATAATATGGCAAATTTTTTGAACATCATTAATAACGATGATTTTAATGATAGCAGAATATTGTTAATAAAGTTTATGCAGGTGGCGATAAGAATAACAAAGTTAAATAATATATGTATAGGTAGACAATTAAATAAATAAATAAGCTCAAATCTTAAAAGTGACGCAATATTAAAGGTGAAGTGGACAGATAATTACAGTTTAAATAAATACCATAAAAGTACGAGGGGAAGGGAAAATAAGAAAGGGTGGGAGGGTTTTGATTAGAATCCACCTAGGCCAAGGAAGAAACAAAGGTAGAACAAATTAATATTAGATCTCCAATGTTATGTAGGAGTAAGAACAATTCGTCTACTAGAACCTAACTTATGTGTACATGAAGACTTTATAGTCCATCTCACATTGCCTTGGTAATTAGATGTTTTCTTTATTTAACAGTAAATTGAATATCGTTTATCTCTGTATCAGTTTCTCCTTGAATCTCTTTTGATGGTCTCATATCTTGTTGATTTTTCAGAAAATTTTCGGTTGACTTTTCACTTAAGGAAGTTGAAACTTTCTGAAATAACTCAACCTGTCCTCTTAAAATTTATCAATTCATGTATTCTGCCCATTGTTCTGTACTGTTCGCTCCATTTATTCTTCCCTGAACTTCTTAAAAAAGAATATACGTAGAACACTGAAGGCTGTAAGTAGGGTTAGTAGTGTTCCTTTGACTCAGCTAACTGACACGACTGTCAATAGGCACTTCAGTTCTTACAAGCATTTGGCTGAAGTTATCTTGTCTGACACTGAACATCCTCTTTATTCGCAACTTTTTCCTTGTATATCTTCGAGTTAAACCAGAAAAAACTTCATAGGAATTTACTCTGGTACAGCTACTAAATATAAAAATCTTATCATAACATATTTAACTCGGATTTTTTGTGAAGAGTTAGATGTCAGAAAAGAATTTATTAACTTCTTAAATTAGTAACTGAACTGCAAAGTAAGAGTAAAGATTATTACTGCGTGTATTGTTGATGGTATTATCTACATACAACTCATTATGTTTCCATCAGCATTCTGTTCATAGTGGTTTCATTATTAATATTATTATAAATATTCTATATTTTATGGATGTACATAGTTATAAAGTTATTATTATTAACCGACTACTTCCACAATATTGGGTGCTGACAGTGAAAAGCATATATATGTGAGAATTTTCAAAAAAATGGATACTGAACAAAGATTACTCTTTTCGATAACTTCATTATCAGGCTCTACAGTTATATAGACATTATAGTGAATGAATGAATTAGTGTTATGAACAACATTCTCTCTTTATAATCTACCTGGTGCCTAATAAATTGCCAAAATCATAGAAGCACCGCATGCTCTAAACAGCAGAGGCTATTGCAGTTCGCCTCAAACAACCAGTCCTCTGTTATAAATGTCCAAACCAAGTTCACTTTTAACGGTTTGAAAAAATTTGGGCATTCGGTATATGATATTCATTATAATAGAGGTTTTTGTATTTCCCAATAGAATGAAAAACAAAACGAGATTGTTTTTACTGACGTTTCGCTATTTAATGCTGATGATGAGCAAATTCACTATGTAAACACACACTACTACACACTGATAAAATCCAACAATCTACACTTGATTTTTTATCTTTACCCATTCGCCAACTTGACAACAAAAAAACGACCCAGACTGACGAACGATGATCAAGTATTTCACAACCTACACTTAGTTTGGTTACCTTTACCTATTCTCCAACTTGACAACCTAAATGACCCCAGACTAAAGAACGATGATCAAGTTAGTAAACTTTATTCTGATATAATAACAGATATACTATTACCTTCGATATTTGGTTTGAACGATCTTCATTGTTATTTTGACTTTCAATATGTCCTTTTAAGTTGAACTAAGTCTATATTTTTCTCACCCCCTAACTCTTTGTTATATATATGCTGAGATTTGTAAATTCCGGTTTAATAATACTTTGAGAAAGCTATCAGCATTAAATAGCGAAACGTCAGTAAAAACAATCTCGTTTTGTTTTTCATTCATTGGGAAATACAAAAACCTCTATTATGATGAAGAACCAGTGCTCTGTGTTCAAAAGAAGCAAGTCCAGCCACTGCTACTTTTGTGGCCTTGGCCTTCAGTAGAGACTATAAATTCATGAATTTGTAATATTATCTATGTTTGCTAATTTTTCTGACATTCAGCTTATTTCATATTGATGCTATTAAGCTGTAATCTATCAAGGATATTATTGATTCGATGTTATTTAAACAACATTAATGTTGTTCATAACACTAATTCATTCATTCATTCACTATAATGTCTATATAACTGTAGAGCCTGATGATGAAGGGGTTATCGAAAAGAGTACTCTTTGTTCAGTATCCATTCTTTTGAATATGTGAGAATATATATTTGTCAAAATCTCAAACAAATTTAAATAAATAATTCAAACGTTTCGTTTAGCAAAACTGGGCTGAACATCTTCACCTCAGGGTCATGATAAAAGTTAAAAAGACAAATCTTGTTTTGAACATTCTTATTTAATCATGTCTGAGTCATCAATAGTCATGAAAAACAACATAATAAACATAAAAACTTAGCGAACTGTGATCAAGATTTGACCTGATAGTTCCACCTACTCGTTATTAGTAGTCTACACTGTGAACACTGTGTTTGTACTTTTATGTCCATCTTCAATGAAAATATTCTAACATAGGTCATGGTAACTTAGTACACATGGTAAGGAAATCTGAATTAGAAAACGTCTGTCTGATCTACAAATAATGTGGATGGGTGGACAATTTCACATCAATTGTCAGCATATTCAGAATAAAACTGAAATAAAACAACGATTAATTTTGGTTGCAATTTTAAGTCATTGGTGTACCAATTTGAATTTTCAGTCACATAAATCCATAGTAGGTATAAGTATATATTGCTTTGGAAGATACAGATAATCGGGATAATAAATTAGACATGGAAATTGGCAGCACATTTTTACCTAGACATGCATCATCTAACATTACACCGTCAAGTCTATTTATACTTATGGGATTCACTCTTATAGACAGGCCTTCTGCAGTCGGTCTTTCTTTGTATGAAACAACACCTTTCCGCAGATTCTTTTTTTATTATTCCTTTACGTTCTCATTGGAAAATGCGGCGTCAAGCTAGAGGCTTGAAGTTTCGATAACAGTGGTGTTTATTTTTACGGGACGCGGTTGCTAACCTTATATCCAA